CCCCCCAGTGCACAAATTTTTGTGCACCGGGCCTCTAGTATATATATAAAATAAAAGATAATTTCAGGAGTTAGGTACAAAAGAAAACCTTACTTTAGAGAGACTACCATGCACAGTGTCTTATAAATAGGGATAACAGTAATGACGACAGAGATGATGATGGCAATAATAATAATTCGCCTGCCCAAAAGCAGTGAATAGAAAATGGCAGGGCTGTCTTTGCACTCTCTGGGTGGTGTCATTCCACCCTGGACAATAGCTTCCTCCCCATCAGATGGCACCTCCAGCTCCACTTACGTCAAACAATTTGTGAGAAGAAATAACTCATGTAAAAGAAGGAAGAAAAATTAAACATCTTCTCAACCAGGAGGTTAAAAACCAAAGTAATGGATGAAGACATAACCTTCTCAGTGCAGTATTTGTCCAACATTTTTGAAAGAACCAACTTTCTTTATATTTCTAAATTGGTAATAAATAAGGGTGCATCATCTTTTCCCCTATTTCAATATTTGTAAAACCAGAAAATTCCCTGGGTTTTCACCTTTTCTGTTTCAACACAATCGGTGTGTTGTTAGTTTTGGTTTGCTGTGTGTTACGTTTGAAAGGCAATGCTAAGGGACTCATGTTTTGCAGCCTCTACCGTGTAGGACTTAAAGTGACTAAATCTGAGTCATGTTTGTGGTGCTAATTCCAGATGAAAATCTCATTAAAAATAGGAAGAACCTGGGTTCCCAAGAAAATATTATGCCACCAAGTTGTCTTCCTGACCCAAGGGTGTGTCTGTTAAAAATTTTTCTTTGCTAACCTTGGGTTTTCCTTCCTTTCGTTTCCAGGCTAACCATGCACTGCAGAGGTTGGCATCAGCGTGAGAAGTGGCTATCTGGTTACATTAGCCAGATACTTCATAATGGTTGAGACAAAAAGGCCCCAATGTCTACTTAAAGTGTAGGGTTATGGTTGTTAGATTTATGTGTCATTATGAAGAAAATTCAGTATCATGAAATCATCCATCCTATCCCAACTAATCTATGAATTCGAGATATTCAGAAGAGCAACGTCGAAGGGCCTGGCCTGTAGGATATCAAGATTTATTACAAAGCTATAACAACCATAATTAATGAAATGTAATTACTGAAATTGTACAGTGTCAAACTGTATTGTTTGTAAAAAGACCAGAAATATTGAAAAAAAAATATACTAAAACATGAACCAAATTCATAAAGATTGACAACTCAAAACTTCTGAGGACCAAGGGATACCCTGGAAACAGCATAGAAATATCTTTGGAGAGGAGATACTTGCAACAGCCATACATGATAACAGATTATTCTCTAGAATACATAAAAAATGTCTACAAATCAATAAGAAAAGGACAACCTTAGAGGGGAAAAAAGGACCAAAAATATGAATAGGCAATTCACAGAAGAGTCAACTTGAATTGTCAATAAACACATGCTCAGACTTGCTAGTGATGAAGGGGGTGGAAATAAAATCATACTGAGACCCATTTCACACCAACCAGACGGGCATTTGTTCAAATTTAACAGTATGATTAGTTAATAAATTCACATGGTTTTAAAAATGAGTAATCTAAGTATCTAATAATGGGAATACTGAAGTATATTATGGTACATTCATTTGATAAAATGTTATATGATCATTTAACTGACTGATACACATCCTGTGTAGCAATACAGAAAATCCTTATAATAGGATAAAGAAAATAATCAAAATTCAAAATATGTAACCAGAAATGTTCTCAATTAACAGGAGATAAGATATAAATATGGTCAGTCAGTACATACAAAGCAAGCATATCAAATTAAAATGAGAAATCACCTGTCTCACCATCAAGTTGTCCAAAGATTTTTAAGAAATAAACTCTTTACTGGTGAGGGTACCAAGAATCAAGCATTCTCATACACAACTCCTGGAAATTTATAGAAACTGGCACAACTTTTCTGCAATTCTGTTGACAATGTCCAAAAACTTGTGAAATTCCACCAATAGGAAGCTTTCTTTAAAAAAGGATTTTCAATGTGGCAAAGGTATAGTTACCAGAATATTCTCACTATGTTATCCTATATAATAAAAGGATAATATGCAAATTGACCCTAATGGCAGAACGACGAGTCACTATGATGCGCACTGACCACCAAGGGACAGACGCTCAATGCAGTAGCTGCCCCCTAGTGGTCAGTGTGCTCCCACAGGGGGAGCTCTGTTCAGCCACACGCAGGGCTGATGGCTGTGAGTGCAGCGGCGTTGGCGGGAGCCTCTCCTGCTTCCTCGGCAGCACTAAGGATGTCTGACTGATGCCTTAGGCGCCTTGGGGAACGGGCCTAAGCCATCAGTCGGACACCCCCTGAAGGCTCCCAGGCTGCCAAAGGGATGTCTGATTGCCAGTTTAGGCCCGTTTCCCCAGGGAGCGGGCCTAAGCTGGCAGGTGGACATCCCCTGAGGGGTCCCAGACTGCGAGAGGGCACAGGCCGGGCTGAGGGACCCCCCCCAAGTGCATGATTTTTCATGCACCAAGCCTCTAGTAGTATATAATGTTTTAAACAATATAAAATATATTTACTGGCAGAAAAAATACATTATGCCATGTGAAGAAAGGCAGAACACACGTAGTATGATTCCATGTTTGTTATAGGTATTTGAATGGTTCCTTTCCGCTGCATTTTCCAATTTTAAACAATGAAATACATTACTTACATAAAAAAGTTATTAAACTATACAGATGAGAAAAATATCTGAAGGAAAATGTTAAATCTTAACAGAAGAGTGTTAGGGCAATGGGGTGGTGGGTGTGTTTTCTCTTTCCTCTTTTTTTTTTTGTAAATTCTCTGCAATGTTCTTACATTACTTTTATTACTTAAAACTAGAGGCCTGGTGCACAAAATCATGCAATGGGGGTGGGGCTCCCTCAGCCTGGCCTGCACCCTCTCACAATTTGGTACCACTGGCTCCCAACCGCTCACCTGCTTGTCTGCCTGATCTCCCCTAACCACTCTGCCTGCTTGCCTGATCGCCCCTAACCACCTCTGCCTGCCTGCCTGATGTCCCTAACTGCTCGCCTGCCTGCCTGATCGCCCCTAACCCCTCTGCCTGCCGGCCAGATCACCCCTAACCACTCTGCCTGCCTGCCTGATTGCCCCTAATAGCTCACCTGACTGCCTGATTGCCCCGCCTGCCTGAGTCCCTAACTGCTTGCCTGCCTGCCTGATCGCCCCTAACTACTTGCCTGCCTGCCTGATCGCCCCTAACCACTCTGCCTGCCTGCCTGATTGCCCCCAATAGCTCACCTGCCTGCCTGCCTGATTGCCCCTAATAGCTCGCCTGACTGCCTGATCACCCCTAACTGCCTCTGCCTCAGCCCCCCACTGCTGCAGCTTCATCTGGAAGGACATCCGGAATGATATCTGGAAGATTGTCATTTTTTAAATGAATAGGAACTGTGGTGATTGCAAGGGTGGGGGAAGAGGTGGAAGAGAGCATGGAGGGAATAAATGGTGATGGAAAAAATAAAATAAAATAATAATAAAAAGCAAAAATGAATGGAGAAACCAGTGCCGATCTGTGAGGCCACCATTAGGAAGAACATGGGATCAGTCTGCCACGCCTGCTTTCCTTCCTCTCCATTCTCCTTTCTGCGAGTGGAGACACATTTCTCCACATTTCTCCAGGGAAGCCTCTTGGTGACCTTGTGTACCAATCAAGAGTTCAGTGAGTACAGAGCAGAGCTGGTGCCAAACTGCCATCAGCGTCTCTGTGGCCGCCCCACTCAGCACTTGCTGCGCTATAAAAAGACCTGGTGGGAGAAGAGGTCCCGCCGGCGCTCCCACCATGTGCTCGGCCAGGAGGTCCACCTTGGGCCTGTCGGGGTTCCCATTCCCTCAACCGTTAGAGGAAGGGTGCGGAGGGGATGGTCCCCATGGCTCCCTCGTGCAGACTATCTGATTCTAGGAACCGGTAGGACATATACCCAGCAATCACCAAGACAGACATAGAAAGCCACACATTAGCATCGATAAAGAGCGACAAAAACGAAAGGAGGGCGAGCAGGCACCGCACTAAGCTGTGTGCAATCACGACGGCATCTGCATCGAGGACTGGCTTTCACTAAAGGCCTCCCTCCACTTACTCTGTAGTCTCTGTTCACATCGCTGAGCTGCCAGTGGTCGTCAGGGAGGCCCATGCGCTGGTACTCTTCACTGAGGTCCAGCAGCAGCCAGCCTTGCTCTCTTTCTTCTTTATCCAGCTTGGGGTTGAATGAAAAGCAGTATAACTCCTCGTATTTAACTGCAAGGGAAGGGAGAATAAAGCCTAATCAAGCTCAGTCACTGCCAGAACCAAAGCTCTTCAAAGCATCTCTGTCCGGCGGGAGCACACGAAGCGGCCAGCCCAGCCCTCGCCCGTGGGAACCCAGCAGCGCCCTGTCCTGTGGGCAGGGCCACCCACCTCCTCCCAGCAGGGACAGGGAGACCTGGGACAACCAGACTCAACTCTGCAAGAGATGCTTTCATTTTAGAAGCAAGGTCTTCTCCATTTGGTGCTTTCTTTTTTTAAAATATATTTTTATTGATTTCAGAGAGTGTTGGGGTCCAACCCCAGCAGGTCCAGGGGTTCCCCAAGGTGTGGACGGAGTCGGCGAAGAAGGAATGACACGGAGACAGCGTTCAGTTGATCAGCAGCCTAGCCAGGATCTCTAGCCAGGATCTCCAGCCAAGTTCTGGTGTTTATTGTCTTGTTACATCTGTATTTATACCAGTTGATTTTAATCCTGTCAATTTCTATTGCAAAGGTTAGGGCGTTTCTTATCTCCATTCCAGGGAGTAAAGATTATGTAGCTTAAGCGTGATTGTTTGTAGTTAAAATGATTAACTACCCGCCTGGCACTTAGTTAAGGGGTTTTATCCCCTCCCTAACTTCAGGGAAAAATCCCTACCTGGGGAAACAACCTTTCTCAGAGAGGTGACCTTGGTTAAAACACATAGCGCTAAGGGGAGCAAACATATTAAGAACAGTATGCCATATACGCCAGGTCCCTTGAAACATATGCTGTGCAGATGTTTCTTTCCTGCAGCGACTGTGTAAAGCAGCAAGGATGGACCGGCTTCCGGCAAGAGAGGAAGGGAAAGGGAGAGATACAAACATCAATGATCAGAGAGAATCATTGATTGGCTGCCTCCTGCACGCCCCCCACTGAGGATCAAGCCCGCAACCCAGGCATGTGCCCTGACCGGGAATTGAAACTGTGATCTCCTGGTTCATAGTTCGATGCTCAACCACTGAGCCACACTGGCTTGCCTGCACTTTCTTTCTTTTTTTAGTTGCTTTTGAAAGCAAATGTATTTTCCGGACCACACAAAATGTAAAGCATAAATATTAATTAAGAATTGCATTCATTAGAGGTCAAGGTTATGTCTACTGAGCTTGGATTTGGGAGGGCCTCTGGGAGATGGGCCGGTGCCCAGGCTGCCGCCACATTTTGATGCTCGACAGTATTAAAAAAGAAAACAGTTGGAAAAGCTGTAGGATATATTTATATGTTTGCACTGAAAACATGTGAACTTTTTACGACCACATAAATGTCATGACTGTACTGCTCAGACAATATTTATAGGATCCCTAAAAAAATATCAGTTCAGAGTGCATGGCACCCTGGTCAAGAGGGGCAAGTTGAGGAATATGTAATGAAGTTCTTCTTCCAGTTCGGCCAGGATATCTTTGCCTTTTATGCCTATGAGGCCAGACCCATTCCCCTCTCCCCCAGTAATAGCTAGGATTTGGTTTGGGGGGCTCTGCTTTTCTCTGCAGGCAGCATCGAGGCCAGTGCTGTCCAACAGAAATCTAAACAAGCCGTGTACGTCCTGGCCAGTGTCCTTGTAGCTATGTTAAACAGCTGAAAAGAAACAATGACATTCATTTTACTAATATAATGTATTTAACCCAATATACCTAAAATATTGCCATTTCAACATGTACATATTGTAAAACTTATTCATTGATAGCTTATATATTTTGGGTTGTACTGTCTTTGAAATTCTGTGTATATTTCACACTTGCCAGCACATCTATTTTTTTTAAATTTATTTCAGAGAGGAAGGGAGAGGGAGAGAGAAAAACAACAATGATCAGAGAGAATCAGTGATCGGCTGCCTCCGGCACGCCCCCTAGTGGGGATTGAGCCCACAACCTGGGCATGTGCCCTTAACTAGAATCGAACCCGAGATACTTCAGTCTGCAGGCTGACCTTTATCCACTAAGCCAAACCGGCTAGGGCCTTACCAGCACATCTTAGCTCACTCCAGCCACGTGTCAAACTCTGGCAGCTGCATTCGGCCAGTGGCTACCAACTGGACAGGTCAGATCTAAGCACTTCCAGTGACAGTGATTCATGGCTGATAACTCACCAAACCCTTGGTTCATCCCAAATTTGTTCTAGTCAAATGTATGAACCCACCTAGCAGGCACCATGTGGGCCTCATCTTACAGAGGAGAAATCTGAGCAAAGGGAGGTTGAAGAATGTTCCCAGGGTCACACAGCTAGCAACTGGGGAGTCTGAACTTGAATTGGACCTCTCTTCTGCCCTGATCGATCACCTTTGTGTCTTGTCTTTTCTTGTTCCATATCCTTAATCATCCCGTTTTTCTCCAATAGATGTCTTGCCCCTCACCGTTTGCTTAGGTCCCACCTTGATTCCTTAATCTGTTGAAGTACGCGGTGTGGACAGGGCAGTGCTCCTGAACGTGTGCGTCCGGAGGCCCTGCACATGGTCTCCGTGACACACAGGCAGCCTGCGATCAAAACTCAGCTTCCAGTGCAATCACGACCGAGGTAGCTCATTTATGAGGAGGAAGAAAGATAAGGGTCTTATTGAACTACCATACTTTCCCATTAGGCGCGCACCCTGTCTTGTAAGAGCGAAGTTCAAAGACTGTGGGGTACCAGTGAGATAAGCTACGTTCTGCATCCGTCTCTCTTGATGTCGTATTTCTAAACGTCAGAATTTAGAATACCGGTGATGTCAGTGAATAAGAAAATGCACACACCCAGGCACCTGCACACCAACACGAAGCAGCTGCCGTCAGTACACAGCATTGCTTACAATCTTAGCTGATTGAGCCGACGGCATAGAAAAGTGAGGTTCTGTTCTGGGAACAGCCAGCTTGACCCTGACACATCCTTCCCATCGCTAAGTACCATTTTCATGAGTCAGGCTCTGACAGCATCCCACTAACCGCAAGTGCAATCGGCTGAAGATGCCAAAAAAAGTCCCTTGAGAAAGCCAGTTCCCTGAGCGAAAGAAGAGCTAAGGAGTGAGGAGTAATCGTGGACGTTAAGTTCCCTCGTTAAATATTTACAAATAGGTTTACGGGTAGAAGAATTATTATCAACAATTATTGAGTATTCTGTGCATGGGCTCACGCTTGTCATCACTGGCAAGAGGCGAGGACACTGTGCATAAATGAAAGCAAGAATAATTTGTGACGGTCATTAAGAAGATCGCTCTCCAACTGGGAGACAGGAGAATGGGTTTCTGCTGGAGTTATGAGGTTTTTGCTTTCAGTTCAAGAAAAAAGGGTGATCCACCACCCATCTATCCCACTTTAAGTCAAGTCCTATATAAGGGCAGAGAAACCTACATTTCTGTCGGTCAGAGCACAGTCTTGCTAATGTGGGCAAACTACCCACCCGGAGGCCAGCCCAGGAGAAGTGTGCTCGGAGAAATGAAAGGGTGCCATTGACGCAGTGACAAATGTCACTGAAGAGTTCCCATTTGCAATATTCTCTTCCCCTCCCCTCCAGCTCCTGCAATAAATACCTCACAGATTGTCCAGTGAGTGGCAGGGAAGTAAGTTAAAAACAAGGGGAGGGCTAGAGAAATCTCTCGTCTTTACAGAATCTGAACTGAGAAAACATGTACCTGTCCCCTGGAGGAAGAGCAAATCCCTGATGGGTCACCCCTCTTAGAACAGACGTGTTCAATACCCTGCTGGCTTTTCACATCCCCGAGTCTGGGCCACCACAGCCCACATGGAACGTCTTTAGCTGTCGGTGGCGGCAGGCTGCACAGGAGGTGCACGGAAGGCCTCACCCCAGGGCCCCATCGCTAGGGGACATCACGAGGGGACACAGGAGCTTCTCCCACGAGAAGCAAACACTCCACACGCCTCGGACTGGGGAGGTAAACGGAATGTGCGCCTCTCATTAAAACTTCCTTTCAAAAGAAGTTAAGTGTAAATTATTCTAGTATTTATTGACCTACGTAAATCATGTAACTGCTCAACAAAGACAGGCTTGAAGGTGTTTCTATCTATTCAGAAAGCAAAATGATAATTTCTGAAAATACCACATTAAATTCGGAGTGAACAGCACTTTGCCTATGTTCCCAGAAAAGCCAAATCAGTGTCTCGGGACTAAGCGGACAGCATACGCTCAACCCGAGCCCAGGGATGCAGATGCGTGTTTCACGGACATGGCTCTATTTTAGCCCTGTCGCCCATCATTAACTCAGCATGTGTCACCGCCGTGGCTTCAGGGCCCGTGGCTCTCAGCAGCTCCATCACTCTCAGACCATCCCACTTCCTGCCTCCCAGAGAAGATGCACGCCATCAGCGGAAACTCCTTCGGCTTGGAACCACCAAGCCCGCAAAAGGTCCTTCCTGGGCACCCAACCTCTGCTGCTTCCCCCCCATAAAAAGGGACGGGCGTGCATTCCACCCAGTAGGAGAGCTGTGGGTAAAACAAAGCACTTGGGGAAGAAAGAAAAATAACCTCGCTTGTTTCCCATGAATCAGGATAAAGGTTATGAAAACAGAATATTTAGGGAAAAAATATGGGGACAATTTCCTCTTATTATAGACTACCTAGGAGGGGAAGTAATTTAATATGAAAATAAAAAGTACTTTACAGCCCTGACTGGTTTGACTCAGTGGATAGAGCATCGGCCTGTGGACTGAAGGGTCCCAGGTTCGATTCCGGTCAAGGGCATGTACCATGGTTGCGGGCATATCCCCAGTAGGGGGTGTGCAGGAGGCAGCTGATCCATGTTTCTCTCTCATTGATGTTTCTAACTCTCTATCCCTCTCCCTTCCTCTCTGTAAAAAAATCAATAAAATATATTTTTTTAAAAAAAGAAGAATGAAAACATCTCCCTGGTCTGGACAGTATATGTGGCTTACCATCACATTAGTATTAAAAAAAAAAAAGTACTTTACAAATCAAAAGGAAACATGTAACAACCAATGTAAAAACTGAACGATATAATAATAGTATTGATTGTTTCCCTTACACATTTTTTTTTTTTTAGTTGAAAGGAAAAACAAACATGAATCAGCAGCAGCTGAATGGGAAGGGTGGGTGAGGGAAGGGAAAAGTCACCAGAGAGACACAGAAATGTGGGCATTTTGGATTCGAAAGTAACAACTGAAAGCTAAATTGCTCCAAATGGTCTGCTTAAATTGGGCAACTTAAAATAAATGAACCTGAAAACCATTTAAAGAGGGGTGAGAAGATAACACAGCTATTATTGGATTTTGCACTTAAAATGAAAATGAGACTTTTCCCGTGTATTTTCAACAAACAAGTGTTCAAATGAAACATCAGGATTGTGGAAGCTCACACTTAGGGGAAAAGAGCTGTGGACTCAGAGGTCAGTATAATCAATAGAAAGGAAATGGCCACTGTAAAATCTGCTGACGCTGCAAGGACTAGACAAAGACTGTAAAAAACTATGTTCAGCAAATGACACTATGTCAACTATGATATTTTATTTTTGAATATATATTTTTATTGATTTCAGAGAGGAAGAGAGAGAAACATCAATGATGAGAGAGAACCATTGACCGGCTGCCTCCTGCAGGCCCCCTACAGGCGATTGAGCCACCTGGGCATGTGCCCTGACTGGGAATTGAACCGTGACCTGCTGGTTCATAGGTTGACGCTCAACCACTGAGCCACACCAGCCGAGCATTATGAAATTTTAAGAATTGGGGACTAAGATAAAATGAAAAAATAGTTTAGTAAAAATGGGGAAATAAAAGAGATGTTTTAAATGCTAAAGGGCCCACAAACACTACAGAGGGAAAGATAACTGTTACAAAAATAAACAGTAGGCAGTAAATTAGAGGAAGGAGAAAATAAAGAACATGGGGAAAATGGAAGTCCTCTGAGAAATAGGGTCTTCTTTTAATCAGAAAAGTGTATAAGCTGATTAGTACTTTGAATCTAACTTATTTTCTCACTTGGGCCACACCATTATTTTAACCTAAGTTATTTCTTTACTAAGAATTAAGGAACTCACTGAATTTGGCTACATTATTTTTTTACTGCGATCTTTATAGTCCATGACCAAATTCTTACCAATCTTTTTTGCTGTTGTTGTTAATCCTCAACTTCACATCAATTGGTTGCCCTGTCCCTCTGCCGCCCACCCCCCCCCCACCGTGAGCCCCAACTAGGTGGCGGGGAACCTGCAACCCAGGTATGTACCCTTGACTGGAATCGAACCCATGACCTTTCCATTTGAAGGCCAACCCTCTAGCCACTGAACAACACCAGCCAGGGCAAATTCTGACCAATCTTAATTCATTAAAAAGGCAAACCAATAAAATGTCACCAAATGTGCTAGTCATTTGGCTTACCCTTTCCCTAGAAATCCTAATTCAGGGAAAAGAAAATCTCAAGAGCTTTAGAAATATCTCCTTCACAGGCCTTGACTTCAATGGACTCCCCAACATTTCTTCTTTTGTTAAAAAAAAGTCCTCTACAGGACCTTGTGGTTAGCTATGTCCATAAAGGAAAATGAAAGTATGTGATTTGTGTTGGCGACTAAGCACAGAGCTATATTGTACCACTAGAGCTCAACGTATACTACACACACACACACACATACACACACACACACGTTTTTTCTGATGTACCTGGAGGAGGGGGAAGGTATTTTGTGAAAGATCCTTGGATGGTTCTGATAAGCCACCCCTGGCCCCAGCTGGGACCCCCCCACCCCCATTCCCCACCTCCACCCAGATTCAAAACCCTACTTCCGAGGCTATAGGCTGTAATCTGTCCTACTTTTAGCACTGCCTTGAACATTCAACTGTGAAACTGCTTGGGTCCTACTTCATCTTCCCACACGTAGTAAAGTACAGTGGTTTATGTAAACTGTCACTGCTCATTCCAATGTTTCAAAATGCTGGTGGCTTTTTAAAACCTTTTAAGATAACGGCTTTAATTCAATGAATTACTAAGGTTTCCTTTTTTGATCTGTGGCTGTCTAATAACTAACTCTCAAAAGTTCACTTTTAAGAAAAAGTGTGCATTTTTAGAACCAGGGGAACACTGTGACTTTGCCCCTGTGGGGGACCCTCACACTGTGGGTCCTGGGCTGGCCATCCTAGGGCCGGAGCCCTCACCGGCCTGGGATCTTCCAGCTGCTTAGCCCTTTCCCAGGTCTCCAGGCTATTCCTAAACCCATTAATCCGGTCGGAGCACATTTGTTATCCAGCACACCCATTAATCAGTGACACAGACACTGCTGGCCCACAATTGTCCTCGCATTCTCGGCTGCATGCAACCTCATGTCCCTCTTCCCAGACCTCTGTTCCAATTATAGTGCCGCCTCCCAAAAGTTCAACCGCTTTCCTGGCTAACTCTGCAGTTCTTTTCAACACAGCAAGAGGAAAACGCTCCAACCAGCTGCCTTCCAAGAGGAGCACACAGAATCGTCAGGTTCTGACAGCCCCTGGCACCGTTTTCATGACCTAACTTTAGCTCTTAGCTGTCTACCGATGATATGGTCAGAGCCTAAGAAACTGAGGACCCGACCCACTGCCTTGAGGAGCATCATCAAACTGCTGGTCCTGAATCACAAGGCATTCAGCAAAGTAACTACACGCCCATATCCTATTTCCTTGCTCATGACTTCTGGGTAGCACTATCATGAATATGACCTTTACATCAAGGACCTCTTTTCACTGTATTCTCCTCAGAAACTCAGGCATGTATTTCATTTTATTGATTTCAGAGAGGAAGGAAGAGGGAGAGAGAGAGAGAAACATCAGTGATGAGAGAGATTCATGGATCGGCTGCCTCCTGCACGCTCCACACTGGGAACCAAGCCTGCAACCCGGGCATGTGCCCTGACTGGGAATTGAACCGCGACCTCCTGGTTCATAGGTTGATGCTCAATCACTGAGCCACGCCGGCCGGGCGACATGTATTTCTTTTAAGCAATAAGAACCCACAGCTCACAGAGGCCACACAGGGAGACAAGACACACTTCTGTAGAAGTGGGTAATGGGCTACAAATCGGAAGACCCAAGATGAGGGATATATCACAATAATTCTCAAATCAACCAAACTGTCTTCCAAGGACACTTAAAGAGCTTCTGTTTAGGAGATTCAACAGATCCACACTTTGAATATTCAATGATGCCAACACGGTCTAGTTATACCAACCTTGGGACACATGTTACTATCAAAAAGGAACAGAAACCAAGCCTTAAAAGCCCCAAGGTGGGGAAGACTGCATTGGAATTGTGTGACAGCAATGTTTTCCATAAGAAACAATTAGTCAGTTTGGGCTTAGACCTCCATTCAGGTCACGTGATTCTCACAGTATCAGAAGGGCATAATTTTAAGATGATTTGACCCTGAAGGGAAAACAAACACGCTTATAACCCCCAGAGATAAAGTGAATGCTAAGAATAATGACTGGTTCCTATAGGAGGCAACTCAGGGAGAGCTCCTCAGAGAGAAGGAAAGCTATGATTCCGATTTCTTGGCCTCTTCGGAGGCCTGGGAGAGCATCTGATGCCTAAAACACTGTACATGCTCGAGCGCCATATGCACTGGCCGGGTGTGATCTGTGAATTTCTGAAGGGTGGGGCCACGTGCCATGCCGAGCTCCCCTGGCCTACCTGGCCTCGTGAGGCGTATCAGAGAGATGTACACGTCATGGCAGTCTCTCTCCTGGGGGATGATGAGTTGTAAGAGCTGGAAGTTCTTGCAACGAATGAGCAGATGGCATCCAGTAGCAGTTGTTGCCTGTTTTTCGATGGTGGAAATCTGGCTGTGAAGAATCTGCAATTGAAAGTGAACGTGGATAAGCTAAGCACAAACAACTGTTAACAGGGCGAGGAGTGACACAGATCTCGGAGCCACACAGACAGACTGCCAACACTCCCCGACCTTCAGCTAGCTCAACACCTGCACTCAGATAACAAGAACTGAGATGTTTTGGGAAAGAACCAACTGTCTAGATTTCCCGTTTTGTTTTTTCTGTGTCAAGCTTTCGGATACCCAGGCTCATGATTTGGAGCCAATGACTCAGCATACTCTTTTGCACAAGTCCGGGCAAGGGAACATTTTGGTAGTCAACTGCTGATTGCGGTTAATAGCTCAAATGAAAGAAGGTCATGAGAAGTTAGTAAAATAAATCTTGCAATCAACAAAAGTCAGAGATGACTCCGCTGGGAGGGGCCACCGTGCTCCCGGATTCCACATGGAATGCTCAAGCTCAATAGCAACTTGCACTTGTTTGCTAAGTTGTTGGGGGTCAGGCTGGCTGCAGAGATTTCTTTTAAGGGAAATCATGCTGAAGGGCATGTCCGTTGTCTCAGGAGGGTCTCTGCTCAGTCCTCCATGGCAAGCATTTCATCCTTTCAATTCCTCTCCAGTAAGTAGTGCCTGCCACCTTCAGCTGCAAATGGAGCAATGTCTATGGACTAGAGAAAAGGCCAATCTACAATTCAGCAGTTCTGGCCCTGGTCACGATGTCATGATGAGCGGTCTATACAAAATAAAGAATATCCAGTCTCATGATTGCATAGCAGAAATGCCTGATGATAGGACGCTTCCCTAGCTTTGCTTTTCCCTCCCTCCCTCCCTTCCTTCCTTCCTTCCTTCCTTCCTTCCTTTTTAATTATCAGAAAAGTGGAGACAACAGAATAAAATCTATATCTGGGATACTGACATTACAGAATCTCTACTCAAAAGCTGTGACATGAACCACTTGCATCTCTGGCTCTTTCTAGTCAAACAATTAGTGTTTAAAATGAATATGTAGATCAGTGGTTCTCAACCTTCTGGCCCTTTAAATACAGTTCCTCATGTTGTGACCCAACCATAAAATTATTTTCATTGCTACTTCCTAACTGTAATGTTGCTACTGTTATGAATCGTAATGTAAATATCTGATATGCAGGATGTTCTTAGGCGACCCCTGTGAAAGGGTTGTTCGACCGCCAAAGGGGTCGCGACCCACAGGTTGAGAACTGCTGATGTAGATGAAGTAGATTGGACTCTACAGGAAAAGGTGAAGGTCACATTCCCCAAACAGACCCCTGAATACCCACACACCAAGAGCCCGCCCACCTCACCCTGGGACAAACAAAAGAATGGAGGATCGAGCTCTTTACTTCAAACAACGGAAATAAGGAATGCATACCCATGTTTCCTTTCTTGTGTCGGGTGCATTTTCCACGAATATGACATGAGTGGCCGTCAAATACAAAGTTCCTAGGGCTGCTTTTTTGGAAGATATTCGATCTAGCAAGCGGACATTTTCGACCTAGGAAAACCATTTGACACAGTTATAGTTACAGCACCAGAGCTAGTCAGGAAAGTGAAAAACAAGTAGGTAATCTTGTTCTTAATCCAAAATGCAATTTGAGAATTTTCCCAATAAGAAAAAAACAAAAATTTCCCCTTAAATTAATTAGATCTCAGAATATGAATCTGTATATCAAAAGATAAAATTTCCCCAATTACTTAAATATAACCTTTAATGTATGACAAAAGATTTATAAAACCTCTTCTTTAAGATTACCCTTTCTATATCTTAAATAGGCCAGTGTTTTCATTTCACTGTAATTATATAATTCTAATTTAAGGCAGGTAGTGTGTGTATCAAAGTTCAGCATTCACACAATAACTATGTATGAATTATTTCCTATTAAAAAGAAAATATACTTTCCTATGTGTTTCATGGTTGTAGAAATTGTCTCAAGGCTGTTTGCTGCCACATAAATGAGCAGGAAATAGAAATATATATCTGGGAGCAAAAAGTATCGGAGAAGTGTTCTGCATTTTCCAAGGAAAACCTCTCAAATTAAGATGCTCACATTCACTTATAGTAAAATCTCTCTAACAAATGGAATTCTCACCACTGAGCTCATTTGAACTGTTAGGAGAGATTTCTTGGAAACGATTTTTTATCAAGAAGATATTTCTTACATGCAGAGCAATTTCAAGGATGTGTGCACTGGGATCATTCCAATACGAAATGTAATGGAAATGACAAGACAATCTCTCCAGGGCAAGTGAAAAACTGAAGACGGACAATGGCTCAACCCTCATCACTCAAGTCAGGATGGTTACTTGTCCTCCATGAGGCAGCTTAGGGCCCCTAGTGGATCGTATTTGCCCCGTTCTTTAGCTCAATGGAGAAGCTGTGGTCCTGATGTGATTGGAGAGCCCAAGGCTTCCCAACTGCTCCAGGGAAGACCTAGGTGGGTATCCAACCTAAAGAACACTGCAAGGACAACTCCAAGGGCAAACAGCACTCAAGACACCCATCGTTCAGTCTCCTCTGAGCCCTTAGAACCAAACCAGTCTTCCAGGTCCCATCCCATATCTTCCCAATTTCCAGGGATCTAATGAGGTAAATAAAGCATTAGGTACTTCAAGTATTTTCTTTAGTCAGACCATTTACTCCAGGGTGGTTGCATACTTCTTGAGACTTGGTGAATGGTTATTTCTTAAAGATGTTCATTTAAGAACCTATCAGCTTCCGGTTTGAAGAAGTACCTCTGTTGTTACTGATATGCTCCACATTCTTTCAATGGGTCTCCATCCCTCTGTCTCTTTCGTCAATGGTCTTCATAGCATTGGTTTACTTTCCTACTAGGTGGCCATCACTCCTTACATATTCATCAGAACAGTTCATACAGTAAGGATAATAACCTCTGGCCTAATTTTATGTTTTATAACTGATTCTTTACCAAGCTCTTTTATTGGTTCTAACGCTTTTTTCAATAAAGTCACTTGGATCTTCAATAAAGTTACTTGAGTAGAGAGGAATATTTTCTATAATAATTTGTCTCTTCCTTTCCAGAATGTATACCTCTTTTCCCCCTTGTGTAATGACATGAACTAGACCATTCAAAATAACAATGACAGTGGTGACAGCAGCCACTCTTGTGTTGTTTTTTTCGGTTTTTTAATAACAGCTTTATTGAGATATAATTCACATTTCATACAATTCACTCATTGAAAGTAGACTGTTCAATGGTGTTAAGTATATTCACAGCATTGTACATATCATCATTGTGCAAACATTACCACAATCAATTTTAAAACATCTTCATCACCCCCACCCCAAGAAAAAAAAAACCACCCTGTACCCATTAGCATTCCCTCCAAATCACCTCAGCACTAGGCGACCATCAATCTACTTTCTGTCTTTATGCATTTGCTTATTCTGGACATTTCATATAAATGGAATATGTTATACTTTGTGACTGGTTTCTCTAACTTAGCATCATATTCATTTTGTTTTATTGCCAAGTAACAATCCATTACGTGGATACTAGAGGCCCGGTACATGGATTTGTGCATTGGTGGGGGCGTAGCCTGTGAGGATCAGCCCGCTGTGGGAGCTCTGCCCATCCTTGTCATCTGAGCGGCTCTCCCACTGTGGGAGTGCACTGACCACCAGCGGGCAGCTCCTGCGTTGAACGTCTGCTCCCGGTGGTCAGTGCGTCATAGCGACTGGTCGACTGGTCGCTTTGGTCGTTTTGCCGTTGGGTTGCTGGGATTTTATCTATATAGATACCACACTTTATTTATCCATTTGTCAGTTGATAGTCCTTTGGATTGTTTCCACTTTCTGGCTGTCATGAATATTGCTTCTATGCACGTTCTTATACAAGTGTTGGTGAGGGCATATGTTTTCATTTCTCTTGGAGATACACACACACACACACACACACCTAAGAATGGAATTGCTGGATCAGATGGTAACTCTTTGTTTAACCTCTACAGGAACTCTCAGACTGTTTTCCAGAGGGGCTGTTTCATTTTATATTCCTACCCAGTATGAGGGCTCTAATTTTTCCACACAATGCTTGTTGAAATCTCTTTATTACAGCCATTCTGCTAGGGGTAAGATGGTATCTCACTGTAATTTTGATTGGCATTTCTCTGATGATTAATGATGTTGAGCATCTTTTCCTGTGCAGTCCTGTTTTTAATAGGAGTACTCCCAATATCTCACCATTGAGTTTGGTATTTTTTATCACACTGTGGAAGTGATCCATTCTTAGTTTACTGAGTTTTAATTTTGAAAATCAGAAATAAACAGTGTGCCATTTTAATAATACTTGGATCAATTATTTGCTTTCTAGCATTAATCCTGTGTTATCCATAGTAATAAATTTCTTAGTTATTAAAGGAGTCAGATTGTTGGTGTACGACCAACTTGGAACTGGTGTATTAATGTTTTAATATTGCTTACATTTTATCTGTGCTAATTATTTTGTTTTGTTTGCAGTATTTTTGTTGTTTGTTTTGTTTTGGGTTTTATTTTTTTCATCTATGCTTTTAAGAGAGACTGGCTATTTGTGCTACTTTTATTAGATGAATTCATCATGGCCATGATTATATCAATTGATTAGAAAGATTTCAATATACAAATAATTTATTACTTGAAACACTTTTTTATTCAGAAATAACTCTTTAATAATTATTTCAATGTCTTAAGTGGTTATAAATCTTTCAATATTTCCATTTCTTACTAAATCTTATTTGACATCTATTTTACTTACAAATTATCTCCTAATTGCTGATTTTCAATTCTTACAATGTTTTAATTCTTATCTGTGGATAAATCTCTCTCTCTCTTTATCTCTTCTCTCACTCCTAATATTGTAAATTATGTTCTTTCTTCCCTGTGGTTAGATATGCAAAAGTTTTTCTTTTTTATTTATTTTAAAATATATTTTTTTATTGACTTCAGAGAGGAAGGGAGAGGGAGAGAGAAATAGAAACATCAACGATGAGAGATAATCATTGATCAGTTGCTTCCTGCATGCCCCACACTGGAGATTGAGCCCGCAACCCAGGCATGTGCCCTGACCGGGAATGGAATCGTGACCTCCTCGTTCATAGGTCCATGCTCCACCACTGAGCCTTGCCCGCCAAGCACAAAGGTTTTTCTTCAAAGTAACAGATCTTGGACTTATTAATTTAATAATTTTTCTCTTTTGAATTGTTAATTATGCTTGTACTTCTTAGTAAATGTTTTAACTTGCTTTCTTCGGATATATATGTGGTTTTTGTTCCTTTGTTCATTTCCAAAAGCTCAGGTTTAATAGTCAGCTCATTAAGTTTTATTCTTCTTGTTTAGTAACAAAATTTCAAGTCCAATAGTTTTTCTCCAAAGTAAATTTTTGGCTGCATGTTATGAGTTTTGCTTGCAGTATTAGCATTCTTGCTTCCCAGATAGACTATAACTGGAATTTTTATTTCTTCTTTGACCCAAGAGTTTTTAAGGAGAATATTTTTCAATTCCCACATGATTGGATTACTTTATTCAAACTTTTGTCATTAAACATTCTATTTTAAACTAACTCCAACAAAGATATTATGAAAGAGAGTTGTGGGAAGAGAGGAGCAAGGGGATATATTATTTTTGGAACATTTCTATGGGAAAAAACTAATTTGCATGCTAAAATGGGCCTAACTAAATTAAGCAGCTGTCCAGGGTGATGTGCCAGTTAACAATATATAGAAGCGAAACAAAACTTTATTGAGATAATCATACTGAACATATGGTAATATTTTGAGACAAGGAGATCTAGTATGAATTATTCTCCCTATGGAAGTGAAGGAAGCTACACCACTTAGATTATTTGTAGAAAACCTCAGTTGAACTGAACAAGGATCACAGATGGTGGTAGATTAGAATACTTAATGTCTTCCTGTTACCTGTGGAGGCCGCTGCAGGAGAGTTACATTTCAAAATCTGGCAAAAGTTCTTACCCATCCCACAGCTGTCCAAAGTATTTTGAAGTAGAAGAAGGAAAAAAGAGATAAAACACAATTAGGGAAACACCAACAGCATGATTTCCCAGTACTGTGTCACAACAAAAGAAACAACTGGCATGTCATGCCGTTTAAAGGTAATAAGAATTAAAATTCATGGTGGGTGGGGAGAGATCAACCTAAGAACTTGAATGCATATATGCAAAATCCATGGACACAGATAATAGGGTGGGGTGGTGAAGGCTTGGAGCCGGGGGTGAGGTGGGCTAGAAGGGGTCAATGAGGGGAAAAGGGGACATATGTAATATTTTCAACAATAAAGATTTTTTTAAATAAGTAAAATAAAATTAAAACAGAACTAAAATTCAGTTGTCTGAGAAATTCTGTGAAGGTCAGGACCCTGCTCAGTCCCACCATGTGGCTTTCACTAAGGTAGCCAGAACATTCTTGACTGCGATTCTAGAGCCAGTCAACTTGAGATAAAATGAAATAAATCTTGAGAACTTTGCCACCATCTTGAAGACCCACTGGCTCAATTACTCTGCCTCGTTGTTCAGGGAATTTAATGCTATCTCATCGACAGTTACAATGAGCTCTATGATAATAACGCCTCTTGCATCCTGGGAGAGAGATGACCCTCAGGAGCTACCAGCTTCTCCAGAAAAAGTTACTGCAATTCCTTTACACTTTCCTAGGAACCCCTAGGTGTTCCTGCTCTGCAAACGGCAGCTCATCGGTGCAAAACATTACAATAGGTCACCAGTTCTTGGGTGTACATTTCCCACATTCTGACATTCCTGAAAATGCAATGCATCTTATGATTAATGTGGTAAGAAGTCGTGGTGTCATTTCCTTGGCAGTGCTTTTGTCCTTCTTTATGGAACATAAATCTTGGTGCATCTTACAATCACTGATGTCCCAGATTTGCTGAAATGCAGTGGAGTTTGTAGTCATTGGCATACAAATGGCACCTGAAACCATGAGACCAAAAGAAGTTACCTAGAGAGAGCATGTCGAGGGAGAGAGAGGAGATCTGAAGAAATCCAACGTTTAAAGGATGGACGAAAGCAAAGGGATGAGAAAAGCAAACTAGGAAGGAATGGCCCGTTAGGAGAGAAATCAGGAGATCGTGACGCCAAGGGAGGGTGTGCAGGGGCAGAGGTCTCAGAGAGAAGGAGTGTTTTTGTTTGTCTGTTTTGTGGGTTTTTTAAATATATTTTTTATGGATTTCAGAGAGGAAGGGAGAGGGAGAAAGAGATAGAAACATTAATAATGAGAGAGAATCACTGACCAGCTGCCTCCTGTCCCACACTGGGGATTGAGCCTGCAACCCGGACATGTGCTCTGACCTGGAATCAAACCGCGACCTCCTGGTTCATGGGTCGATGCTCAACCACTGAGCCACGCCAGCAGGGTGAGAAGGAGTGTTTACTAGTATGTCAAACGCCGATGAGAGATCAAACAAGACAAGAACTGTAATATGCCCATGGAGTCCAGTAACAGGAAAGACGCTGGTCACCTTGGGAGTGGACCCGGGACCATCAGCATAAGAAGCCATAACACAGCGGCTGGAGGAGTGAGCTCCCGGGAGCTGAGAGAGTAGAGGCCCTCGTCCTTGTTCGAGTGAGGGTGGGACAGGACAGAAGCCAGAGGGGGGCACACTGGCCACTCAGACTCCATCCCAAAGCAGCCAACGGCCAAAGCATACAAGGAGCTTTCCAGAAGCAACTGGCATGTCAAGACGTTTTCAAGAAAGGAGCTTAGTAATGTTGCCAACGAGGGGGATCTCAAGTCGAGATACACACAGGGGAAAAAATAACTCCCATTAGAAGGAATTTGTGAGAAATGGGTTTTAAAGGACGAGAAAGAGAAGATGAGGACCACTGGGCAAGAGTTTATCCTGCCGATGCCAAAGTCTCCACAGTCCTAAGAAGCTTTCTCCCCCAGCTTAAACAACTGGTCTTTTAAAAAATGTGGAAACATATACTTATTTAAGTAATGTTGTAAGATTCAGAAATATAGAAGGAAGGAAAGAAAATCACCCCTAGTCCCATAATTCAAACACAAGCACTGTTAATCTTTTGGTGTGTTTTAGAAACTATTTCTACCTCATTTTAGGGGTTGTTGGAGGAGGTGATGATCCCAGGGGTGGGGAGGAAGAGTCTAATCCCAGTCTTTTTGCTTCATGAGCCTCTCCTTTGCCCCAGATCCTCAGCAGACTGGGCTTAACACCCTAATGCCTTGATGAGCTGGAGACGGCTGTCCAGTAAGCGAGGGGCGGGTTCTGATTTCTCATAGCTGTGTCATAACAGAGCTGCACACGTGTGTGCTGAGACAATCCCTAACCTGAACAAAGCCATTGGAAGCAGAAGATCTGCCTGAGGTGACTGTGAAGATGCAAACCTCCAGAGGAGGTGGCAGAAATTCTGGGGCGAGATCTGGACTTCCAAAGGGAATGGAATGAGGTGTTGAAATAACTTTACCACTATCTCCTGGAGAGGGCCAATCCTGGCTGTCATTTGGCTTATGTAAAAGTTACCAAAATAATAATAGAAGCAATCACGAATAGCTGTAGAGTACTGCCTCTACGCCATGCACTACGCTACCACTTTGCACATCTGACCTCAGGGAATCCCAGCAATAACCCCAGGAGTTAGGTCCTTGCATAGCCTGGGACTAACATCTGTCTAACCCCACAGCCCAAGTTCACCGAGGCAGTGGGCACTGGTGAGTGCCTCTGAGGTCATGTTAGCCCTTCAAAATCAACATGTTTAGGATGACCAGTGAACAATTATTTTAAGCAATTTTACACATGAAAGGAGTATTTGCAAATAGAGTGCTTTCAAACAAAACTATTCTGCAAAACTACATGCACAAACCACTATCAGAATATGCTCTGAGACAAACCCAAAGACAGAAAGCCTGGGAAAGGGGTACCAGAGCCCCAGTGCTGGCTAGGGAAACGGTCAGGATTCTCAGGGCTGAGACCAGGGAGGACCCCAAGCCTCCAATTCCATTCAACAAACGCCGATGAGCGGCACCGTGTTAGGTTCTGTGGGGAACAAAAGGGTGAACTGATCAAGTTGTCTCTCGTCAAGAATCGTCCAGA